GTTGAAAATGAAACAGCATTTCTATTAATCCATTTTAATTAGGATTATGGAACACAATCGCTTCCATAGTTTTGAAGTTAGATGCATCCTAACTTGTTCTAATGCACCCATTAGGTCGTCTTTAAACATTAAATTAAAAATGGCTCCCACAGCTAATCAGTCTAACTCTGTCAACAATTTGTGAACAGACTTGTGTTCTGTATGTTTAGGACCCACTGGCCGGTATCATCCCTCGGACTCTCCACCAGATCTTTGAGAAACTTACTGAGAACGGCACCGAGTTCTCCGTCAAAGTCTCCCTGCTGGAGATCTACAACGAAGAGTTGTTTGATCTCCTCAGCCCCACTGAGGACGTCAGCGAGCGACTGCAGCTGTTTGACGACCCCAGAAACAAGGTCGCTGTCAGGTAGATGAGCTAAATATCTGTTCTTTGTTGCCTTTTTCTCACTTGTGTGTTTGTGTTGCAGCGAGGCGTGCTAGTCAGGGGTCTGGAGGAGGTGGCGGTCCACAACAAAAACGAAGTGTATCAGATCCTAGAGCGAGGAKCAGCCAGGAGGAGGACAGCCTCCACACTCATGAACTCCTACTCCAGGTACATTACAAGCCCACGTCATGTCAGTGACTAAAACTAGACTTTATTGTAGATTTTGATGTATTTAGTTTTGTTTGTATTTTGCAGTCGCTCCCACTCTGTGTTCTCTGTAACCATCCACATGAAGGAGATCACTCTGGATGGAGAGGAGCTGGTCAAGATTGGAAAACTAAATCTGGTATATTTATTTTGTCTTCAAGAAAATCTTAACAAATGCAAAGATATATTTCTAAAGATCTCCTTTCAAGGTGGATCTTGCTGGAAGTGAGAACATCGGACGTTCAGGTGCTGTGGACAAACGGGCTCGTGAGGCAGGAAACATCAACCAGTCTTTGCTGACCCTGGGTCGTGTGATCACAGCTCTGGTGGAGAAGAGACCACATGTCCCGTACAGGTTGGTCTATAGTGGAACTGATCTTCCACCTCTCAAGGGTTGGAAACATTCTATCCTTATTTTACATGATAAAAGATGGAGAAAGAACTAGAAGTGAAGTGTGCCGTATTTATTCTCTCAGTACAAACAGTAAAAGCTCAATGATACAAGTACTTGTCATTCTGATGGCACTGACTCGTTCACTGACACAGATCTAGTTCTGAGAGATGAACTAAGGATTTTAAGCAAGAGACCGGCTTTCACAGTTAATCCAWGGAGTTTTGTTATTTGTACGAATTGTTTATACAGTGATGCAATTATTGATCTGCGAATGTCAAAAAATCATTTAAGAAATGTATCAAAGATACCTGTACTTCTCTGTTAAGAGATGTGTTTAGACTTCTGGTTCATGTCAGTGGTAGGGCTGGGCCACATAGACAAAAAGAAATATCTTTTTTTGTTTTCATTTGCCAATATTGATAATCTGATGAAATCTTTCTTTCTTTAAAAAATGCTGTCATACCCTGCTTGCTTACTAGGACATCTATGGATCTGATAAACTACAGAAACATTTGAAACACTGTCTCCTAGAGCAGAGGTTCCCAAACCTTTTATCTTCTGACCCACAAAATATCCATGGCAAAACTTATGACCCCAAATATTACTGGTCTGAGTACATGAACTTCGTTAATAACCCTAAAAACACAGGCTTTTTGACAATCTAAACAGTTTATACAGAAATACAAATACTCATTTATACTTATTTTGTGTTTTTGTAATAATTATAGGGGAAATATTACATCAGCAATTATTTTATTATCCTTTAAATTGATTTCTGGAGATTATCCAAGGTGCTTCATGAGCCATAATTGGGTCTCAAGCCCAACCTTGGGAACCAAAGTGCAGTGGTTCCCAAACBTTTCAGCTTTTGACCCACAAAATAACAGCAGCAGAGACCTGTGCCCCCAACTATTTTTG